CGAGCTTGATCTTGAATCTATATTTGTTGCACGAACGATGATCTTGAATTCGACTAGCACGAACTTTGATTTGAACTCGTACTCCTTGAACCTTGATTTGTTCTTCGTTCTTGAGCTTGAACTTGATTTGTTCTTCGTTCTTGAGCTTGAACTTGATTGCTTGAAGCTTGAAACTTGTGGAGGAATTTGCACCGTTTGATCCACGAGCTCTTTCTTGCTTCTTGTTATGACTTCTGGTCTTTTTTCTGGGTTATGAAGACCCCTATTTATAGCTGTGGAAGGGTGGAGTCATGATAAGAACAAACTCTTTCCGACCAATCAAATTGAAGTGTGACATTGCCGCATTTGATTGGCCAGAACATGTCACTTGCACGCGTGGCGGGATTTCATTGGCCTTTCAGTGTGACAGCATGCCTTGTCATTTTGACACGTGGCATGGTTCTATTGGCTCTTCCATTTAACTTGGCGCGCCACGTCATTTGACATATGGCACCAAACTAGGCCTCCAGAAAGATGATATCTTGGGCCTAATGAGGTGGACTCATCATTTGTAGCCCAATTAAATGGGCTGGCCCAATAATATTGGACTTTTATAATGGGGTTTTGACACAGTTACCCACAAAAACAAAACTATTTACCCTTGTCTACCCATATATTTTTCTACCCATAAACTAATTACATTTTCTACCCATGGTAGGTTTGTGGGGAATTTTTTCTTTATCCTCCAATTCTTTTTTTATTTCTATGCTTCTTTTCTTTTCTCCTTTTCCTTTTTCTCGTTTTCTTCTTATTTTTTTCTTTTTTCCTATTCTAATTTCATTTAACTTCTTTTTTTTTTTATATTCTTTTTCTCTTCATAATCTAATTTCATTTACTATTTTCACTATTTTTTATTATTCTTTTTTTATATTATTACTAAAGAAATCAAATTGTGTACCAATTAAATGTAGCTAATACAACCAAAAAAATATTAACTAACAATATGATACCAGTATATTATATAGTTATACCAACAGGGTATACAATTGTACGCAAAGAGTTAAAAAAAAGTTTAATTCAATTATTAAACTGAAATAATATCAGTTGTCAATAAAAAATTCAAAAAATTCTAAAAGGATCTAATTGTAAGAGTATACAGTTACATTATATAGCATACTATAATATTTTTTTTTGCATTTTCAATCTGCCTCTCACGCTAGGTAAAAGCTTAATGCAAATTAAAAGGGAAAAGGCAAGTGAAGTTACGGGTAATAGGTATACTATTATAGTAGATTGTATACTATTACAGTATATTGTATACTATAATAGTATAATGTTGCAGTATAACTATATACTCCTATAGTATATTGTATATTGTGGCGATATACTATTAGGTAACTGTGTTTGCAGTATAGCTATATACTCCTACAACATATTGTATACCGTAGCGGAAAATTGTAGCTGTTCTTCGATTTTCAACTGAAAATTTCAATCTCAATCACCTCAAATCAGCTCCAAATGCTATCAAATTTCAGTATGAACTTCCAGAAGGTACTATAAGCAATATTTAACAGCACCCACTTTGAATCAAACAAGAAATCTTCAAAAATAAAATTGAGCTTCAAGCCCAACAATGGTGGATATTCAAATACACACAAAAATTTAGATCTGGAAGCTTACTCGAAGATACTATAAGCAATATTTTATAGCACCACATCGAATCAAACAATAAATCTTCAAAAAAACTATTTTCTTCCTTAAAACTTTACTATAACATATAAATTGAAAGTAAATATTATTGAAAAAAGAGATACAGACAGAGGGGGGTTGAGAGTGGGCGAGAAGTTGAACTAATGTTTTCGTAATGGGGTTTTGACACAGTTGGGGAGTTGAGCAAAATTGGAGGAAGGTAAAATGAGGAAGAAGAAGAAGAGGAACATAATAAAGGCGGGTAAATAGTTTGGGGTGCATGGGTAGGAGTAGTAAATAATTTATGTCTGGGCATTAAAGGGTAAATAGTTTGGAATTAATGGGTATAAAGTGAGATTTTTTCTTTTATAATTAATCTAATTATATTAGCCCAAAATATTTATTTCGGACTAATATATTTAAAATATAGTCCACATTATTTTATCGAATTAAATTCGATAAAATTTAACTGCTTACAAATGCCTCCTACTTCAAGACTTGTTGAGGTGTAGCATGTAGGCTTGTCGAAACCGAATCTGGCCTTGAAGTACGAATTAATTCAGACATATTTCTTTGGGCGATAGCTTAAATAAGAAGCATCAACTTTTATACACTTGAATTATCTCAAAGCAGCACTAATGGACCATGTAATTCATCAAATATTGTTTTTAAAATAGCATTTTAATTCATGGATACAACAAAATGATTCCATTTGCCCATTGAAGTGGACGTGTGTGTCCTTAAAACGATCACTTTCTTTGCAATTGATAAGGCATGCCAAGTTAAACCAATCACACTTTGAGTTATGTGCACCTCGGATCAATATAGTAGAATCCTACTAGAAGTCTAATAGCTTTGGTAGCTTTTGCTTGGCATGGAATAGCTAAATCACCGCCTCACAGTGGCCTTTTCCAAATTGGAGAATAATTCTTGCAGTCTGAATCCTTTTTGGAGTTCGATTACAGCCATCCCACATCGGTATTTATTTCCCAACAGTCGCCTTTTGACATCTATAAATACCTTACACCCTTCATTGCATTAGTACCAATTTCAGCGTTTGCAAATTGCTTTGAGTCTACTTTTTGACGACTTGAAAGCATTGATGCGAAGGTAATTTCTTCTTATTTTCTTGTGCTTTCTTCTTTTGTCATTTTTTTTGTAGGTCAAACAAGGAGGGTCGTCAAGTACTAAGTTGACGAGCAACTCCATGACGTCCCACCGAAGGATAAATCTGCAACAACTTATAGACGGTTATATCCACAATAATTTATAGACGGGCGGATCTTGCAACAACTCATAGACAGATCAGTTTGCAACAACTTATAGATGGATAAATCCATAACAACTTATAGACGGACAAACCCTATCAACATATAGACGGACACATCCACCTCAATATATAGACGGACAAATCCACATCAACATATAGACGGACAAATCTCCCCCCCCCCCCAATATATAGACGGACAAATCCGCATCAATATATAGATGGACACATCTACATCGACATATAGACGGACAAATCCACATCATCATATAGACGGAAAAATCCCCCTCAATATATAGACGGACAAATCCATATCAACATATAGACGGACAAATCCGCATCAACATATGGATGGAGACATCCACATCAACATATAAACGGATAAATCCATACTAACATATAGACGGACAAATCCCCATCACCATATAGACGAATATCAACATATAGAAGTATCTAATCCATGACAACATATAGAAGTATCAAATCCACGATAACATATAGCAGGATCAAATCCATGAAGAGGACAACTTAAGGTGCAAAGGGACTTATATGTCCACCTTAAGATTGGAAAATTATAGTTCCTTTTAAGGACAAACCAAGAAGAGGCCAACTTAAGGTGCAAAGGGACTCATATGTCCACCTTAAGATTGGAAAGTTATAGTTCCTTTTAAGGACAAACCCACGAAGAGGCCGACTTAAGGTGCAAAGGGACTTATATGTCCACCTTAAGATCGAAAAGTTATAGTTCCTTTTAAGGACAAACCCACGAAGAGGCCGACTTAAGGTGCAAAGGGACTTATATGTCCACCTTAAGATTGGAAAGTTATAAAGCTTCAACTCGAAGACTTCATGGACTTGATGACGTCGACTTGAACACTTGGAAACCAATATTGAAGGTATTGGATTCCAAAAAGTTCGTACAAAAACCTTTCCCCCCGAGCACGGCTCTGAAGCCAATCGACAAGAATTTCCACATGCCCGAAATTCCTAAGTATAACGGAAACCGATCCGAACGAGCACGTCATCTCTGACACATGTGCTATCAAAGGGAACGATCTAGAGGATGACGGGATCGAATCTATCTTGCTACAGAAATTCGGGGAGACCCTGTCAAAGGGAGCTATGATATGGTACTATAATTTACCACCTAATTATATTGACTCATTTGTTATGCTTGCAAATTCTTTCGTAATGGCACACACCGGGGCCAACAAGGTCGAAACCAGGAAGTCGGACCTTTTCATGCTAAGGTAGAAGGACAGCGAGATGCTCAAGGAATTCATGTCTCGATTCCAAATGGAACGGATGGACTTGCCATCGATCGCTGATGATTGGGCTGTTCAAGATTTCACTCAAGGACTCAATGTTCGAAGCTCAGTGGCTTCATAGCAGTTGAAGCAGAATTTGATAGAATACCCGACTGTTACTTGGGCTAATGTGCATAATCGGTATCAATCAAAGATCAGGGTCGAGGATGATCAACTTGGGGCTTTTTCTGGGTCCGTTTATCCTATTAGACCCGTTGATAGAATCAAGAGGGATATTGACCGTGAATCGAGGTCGAACAGAAATTGAATCAACCATATAATCGAGATCGTAGGAGCATCGGATCTGGGAGAAATTCTACACGAAATGAAAAGAGAAATGATCGGGGCCAATGCTCTCTAGGGCTTATGACCAAGAACGGCTTCGACAGACCCATTGGACCCAAAGAGGCACCAAGATTATCAGAGTACAACTTTAGTGTTGATGCAGCTGCCATCGCATCGGCTATCAGACACATCAAAGATACCAAATGGCCTCGACCTTTACAAACCGATCCAACACTAAGGGATCCCAACCAAATATGCAAATATCATGGCACACATGGCCACAAAATGGAGGATTGTCGACAATTGAGAGAAGAAGTAGCCCGGTTATTCAACAACAGGCACCTTCAAGAATTTCTGAGTGACCGAGCTAAGAATCATTTCAGAACAGGGATTTCAATAAACAAAATGAACAAGACGAGCCCCAACACGTCATTCATATGATCATCGGAGGGGTCGATTTTCCCCAAGGTCCGATGATAAAGCGTACCAAAGTATCAATCACAAGGGAAAAATGGACTCGAGATTACATAACAGAAGGAACTTTATCTTTCAACGACGAAGATGCAGAAGGAATCATGCAGCCCCATAATGATGCAATGGTAATTTCTGTACTCATAAATAAAACTCGAGTTAAGCATGTGCTAATTGATCCAGGTAGCTCCGCCAACATCATTCGATCGATGGTCGTAGAGCAACTCGGCCTACAGGACCAAATCGCACCCACGACCCGAGTACTAAACGGATTCAACATGGCTTGTGAAACTACTAAGGGAAAAATAACGTTGCTGGTAAACGTAGCCGGTACCACCCAGGAGACCAAGTTTATGTAATCGAAGGGGACATGGGGTACAATGCCCTGTTCGGGAGGCCATGGATCCACAACATGTGGGTTGTGCCCTCAACCCTTCACCAGGTATTAATATTTCCAACTCCAAAAGGGATAAAGACGGTTTACGGGGAGCAACCCGCCGCAAAGGAGATGTTTGCCATCAAAGAAGTAATTCCGATATCAACACTCTCATCGACAAAGGACTCAGGTTCGAAAGCAAAACAGGAAGCCAAATAGCAATCACCGATCTTTGAAGATTCGGCGGACTTTGCAGACTTCAACTTGAAGACCAACGGACTTGAAGATTTCAACTTGGAGACTTCGAGGGCTTAAACAACTTAACTTGAATTCTGGTGAACTTAAGGACTTCAACTTGAAGACCGACGGACTTGAAGATTTCAACTTGGAGACTTCGAGGGCTTAAACAAATCAACTTGAATTCTGGTGAACTTAAGGACTTCAACTTGAAGGCCGATGGACTTGGAGGGCTTGAATACTTCAACTTAAAGCTGGCGGATTTGCAGACTTCAATTTGAAGACCAAAAATTTGAAGGTTTGGCGAACTTGAAGGCATAACGAATCACCAGGCTTCAATGCAAATACTTGGTAGCCTCCTAAAAGACTATAATCATTCCATTGAAGACACCAATTCACCTTGGAAGCTTGCCCCTTTTAAAATAAATAAGATCAAAGTTCAACAAGAGGATGGCGTTTCAGCTTGATTTTACATTCCCCATACTTCACTCAGACAACAATTAGGGCAATAAAATAGCTTCACCCCACAAATTATCAGGAGCATTAGAACTAACTAACATAGAGTTCATCATCTCTTTCAATGTTCTATTTTTCCTTTCAGCTATTTCATTTGACTCAGGTGAATAAGGCGGAGTTACTTCATGAATAATTCCATTTTTTTCACAAAATCATTTAAAGATAAATATTCTCCACCTCTAGCAGATCTAATTCTCTTGATATTTCTACTAAGTTGATTTTTAACCTCAGTTTTATAAGAAATAAAGCATTAAAGGCACCATCTTTATTTCTAAGCAAATACAACTTAGTATATCTAGAAAAATCATCAATAAAAATCACATAATATCTTTTACCACCTCTAGTCATAGTCTCTTTAAATCGTCTAAATCAGTATGAACCAAAGATAATAATTCAGTTTCTCAATTTACTGAAAAACAAGTCTTTTTAGTAATTTTAACTTCAGCACATATTTCACACTTGTTAATATTATTTGAGTCTAAATCAGATATTAATCCTAACGACTGCATTTTTTTTATATACGCAACACTAATATGTTCAAGTCTAGCATGCCATAAAGAAACCGACTCAACCATATAAGCAGAAGAAGATGCATTTTTATTGCTAGTATCAGAAATATTAAGCACAAATAAACCATGATAATAATATCCACTGCCCACAAAAATATTATTTTTGGTCAGTACGACCTCATCATTTTCAAAGAAAATCTTCGCTCCAACCTTTCTAATAATCCCATAGTAACCAAATTGGTTTGGATATTAGGTACATGCAACACATCACTCAATGCTAGAGTTTTACCAGATGTGAGTTTGAGAAGACTTTTTTCTTTCCCAAGAACGCGAGTTGTTCTTGAGTCACCAAGATAAATCATTTCTTCCCCTTCCTCAACTTTGGTGTAAGACAAAAATTTATTTTTGTTTGCGCAAATGTGCCTAGTAGCACTGGAGTCTATCGCCCGATCTCTCACATTGGCCACATTATTTATTTGGAAAATGACCGCAAGAATTATATTTTCCGCTTTAGTCAAATTTAATTTTGACTTAGCGAGATTGTTAGTTATCCCAACTCTTCTCTTGCATTGAGGTACATTTTCTTGAATGTTTTAATATTAGCATTGGATATATAGCCATGTATATTTACATACATGTATTTGACATTATTTTCTGCCAAAGTTGTGGATGCAATAATGTATTTGCAACACCATGGATATCTGGCAGGACAAGTGGAACAGTAGCAGCGGGGACAACACCAAAATTGGCATCATCATCAAAAAATTCCCTAGTGGTTTACTTGTCATAGTTTCTTAGATTGTAGGGAAATGACAACGGGGAAATTACAATATAACTGCAATAATATTATTTGTGAGCAGAAATACACGAATTGGCTTGAGTCGTGCTGAACACTGTCCTAAGAAACTATTTCAGCAGTGTGAAATATTTTCTCATGATTAAACAAGCTTACCTCTACTTAAGAGGATACAGGAATCAACAAAATATTAAATTACAAACCCAGCTATTTAAAACGGAGGAACAAAAAAAAATAAACTACTAATTTTGAGAAGGAAAGACAACAAAGGGAAGCTAGTGAAGAATGAAAAAGCAAGGAAAGTTGTTGATGATTTTTGCCTAAGTTGAATGCCTATTTATAGGCTTTAAGAGAGGTTCGAAGCATGACAAGTGTATTAACACTTGTCTTGAGTTTTTCATGCATTGCCACTTTTCATACTTCTTTTGCCACTTATCATAGGCTTCTAGAATGGCTAAAATATTTGTCATTTAGACTTTGAAATATAGCCACAGTTATCTCGATCGAAAGTATTCGTTTTTGGTGAATCAGAAAAAGAAGTCTTTAGAACAAGAGGAAATTAGTCGGTGTGCAGTTGACTATGCTAATTAATTTGGATATATTATAGTGTATTTATTAATTCAATTCACATGAGGTAGTGAATAAACTAATCTCAATCCGAAGAATTGGTGATGGAGTGGATCTGATAAGAAGTCTTGGAACAAAGAGGAAAAGGAATTGGATTGATTGAGACGCCAGCGAAAGATGAATTAGTGGTACTTTTCTAGGATATACTAATATTGAAGTACCAAAGTAACTATTGAATGTAAATCAGGTCATATTTGGTAAACTATTTAAGAAAAAATATGAAGTGCCGAGGAAATTTTCCTCTTTTCTTCGAAGTATTTACGGGTGTATATAAGTTTGGATTTTTGTTTTTACCAAATCAAATTAATTGTGTCGGTTTATTAAGTATATGGACAGTGAGTTAAAATTGTATATTCAAACTTGGCACTAAAAGGTTAAGTGATACAAATTATGACAAAGTTAAAGAAATATTACAAACTAAACTATATTAAATATTTTTATGTGTAATTGTATCGGACTTTTGTTCGATTTGACTCAATTTTATCGGCTTGATACGATTTATTCATTTTCTTTATACACACCCTACGTGTAATTATGGGGAGAAATTCAAAAATAGCCAGATTTACCACTGGTCGTTGAAAAATAGCCAAGTTTCAAAAGTCATCGAAATTTAGCCACTTTAAATCTGAGCGAAAACACTCTTCAAAATCCGGAAAAATTCGCCCGCTAATTTTACGGGAGTTCCAGCATAAGTATGCTTGAACTCCGTAAATTTACGGAGTTCCAGGATAACTATGCTGGAACTCCACAATTTTACGGAGTTCAAGCATAATTATGCTGGAACTCCCGCAAATTTTACGGGAGTTCCAGCAAGTATAATTGTCCAGTATAATATACTGGAGTTTGGAGCACTGGTGCTCCAGTCTCCCGCAAATTTTACAGGAGTTAGCAAAGTATACCGGTCCAGCATAATATGCTGGAGTTCGTACACAAATGCACCGAACTCCCGTATATTATACTGGACCGGTCCCTGTTGCAGCAAAATAGTGGCTATTTTTCATTGACTTGACAAACGCTGGCTATTTTTCATTGACCAGTGTGAAAACTGGCTATACCATGATATTTTAACGTAAGGGAGAAATTCAAAAATAGCCAGATTTACAAGCGGTCATTCAAAAATAGCCACAGTTTCAAAAGTAATCGAAATTTAGTCATTTTTCATGTAAAGATAAATCTGAACGAAAACACTGTTCAAAATCCGAAAAAATACTCCAGTATAATATAGTGAAATTCCAGTATAATATACTGGAACTTCAATATATTATACTGGTACTAGAACTTTCCGCGTGTTAGAGTTCCAGCATAATATGCTAGAAGTTCATACACAGGTGCACTGATCTCCAGTATATTATGCTGGAACTTTCCGTGTTGCAGCAAAATAGTGGCTATTTTTTAATGACTTTGCAAACGCTGGCTATTTTTGAATGACCAGTCCGAAAATTGGCTAGCCCGTGCTATTTTTACCTTAATCGTGGTTGGGTTCCTTATTTTAGTAGCCCAACTTGCATTCGATTGAACGAAGAAAAAAAATTTGAGAGTTGAGACGTGAGACTATATTATTCTATCTTATCATCTTATTAACCGAGTGGTGACTATGCATCTGCTCAGGTTCACGATCCACTTGCATCATTGTTAATTGCTCAACTTGCATTCAGTTAACCCCCCACCCCACCCCACCCCCACCCACAGACACACACAAAAAAAAGTTCATTGAAACACATCTCTCTCTTTCACATGAGTTACAAATCGCTAGAGTTTAGCATATAACTCTTCATTTTTCATTTCCGTTTTCAGTTCCCTGAAGGAGGTAGAAAAGTCGTTTGTGTTTGAGGAAAAGCTGAGGTTCAGATTCACATATATTCAAAATGGGAATTAATAATAGATGCAAAGCCAACCAAGTTGTTGCACTTGGCTCGAGATTCAAAGAACAAAACCTCGTTTTATATTGTTAAGAAAACAAGCCTAGTTTATACTAATCCATCATTGTGTTCTTCTGTGTCTACTTCCAATGCAGTATTCTATACGAGATTGATCAAAGTTGGTGGACATAATTTCAGAACATCCAGCGATTAAAGCTCAGCTCAGCTTGTTCACACTAACGCCACATAATGTCATCGGAACGTCAACTACTATTAAACTAAATTCAATTGTTAACAGTTCACACTAATGCCAGATAAAGTCAAACATACAACCTTATTTGTCACGAACAGCTAGATGAAGATTCTATTGATATTGTGTTTCTATAATCCATAGTTGAGTTCAGTTGCAAAAAAAGCATCCTGGAGAAGAAGCAGCGAAAATCAATGATCATGAGCCTATTACTGGGATCTGTCGTCAAACTACGAAGAAAAGCTATGGGAATTGAATCAAACTATGAAGAAAATGAATATCTTTTTCCTCAAGAAAGGACGAAGGGGAAGGCAGGGGAGAGGATTCATTTTTCTTTATAAGTTGGCTATCTTTTATTTTTAGCACAAACTACTTGGAAAAGCTGAATCTTACGGGTAAAACTAAATTCAAAGCACAAATAGAACTGAATGAACATGATTTTGTACACAAAATTCGAGTGTAAATGAAGTAAATATATACTGGAGATTGGAGATCATTGGTTATCGAAAATTTAAAAGCACACGGGCTTGCTTGGTAGTTTAGGCCAATTCTTCTTCTCTTTTATAAGGTGGCTGAGGCCAGTTCTTGTCCAGAATAAAAGCTTATGCACAACTCAGAACACCAAGCAAATCTCCCATTTCAATTAGCATTATTGGAATTCAACTCCATTATCATATCGTGAAGAAAGAAAAGAAAATGAAAAACCGAAGTAAAACAGAATTATCTGACAGAAAATCGGATACATATTATTGGAAAGTTCCTAAATCGACAACATCAGTGACTTGTATATTTCGCATAGGGATCTTTTTCAACATTAATTTCCAAAAAATAAAATAAAAAAATTCCCATTTCAAGAGTTCTCAGAATTTTGTCTTTTTGAGCACAGAAGAGTGATGTCCTGATTGAGAGTCTACCAAGTGAACATCCAAATGAGGCTAGTATTCCTGAGGACAAGTTCAAAATAAAAAAATGTACGGGGCACAGATACACAAAGGAAAAACCATTTTTCAACAAATAATTCTTCTTGGCTCAGACACGGCATCTGACTTTACGATTGATATAGAAGTACAGAGGGTTGCTCCAATGTGGACAAAAACTAAACACCTTATCTCAATCACAGATGAAATTAGGCTCCTTATTTAACAATGTGATGCTTTTCGATGACTGGAAAATTGTTATGTAGCTTCAACAACAGAAATAAATAGACCATTGCAACCAGAGTCGGTTTGTTTTTATTAACTAATCGCTCAAGCTGTGTCCACAAACTCCGGCTAATCTAATTAAAGGATTATATAAGAATAGCACAAAGAGAAGAACACGAGGATGAGAGCATTCTCGACAACAAAAAAAGAACACAATGATGAGACTGTGAGCACATTCAGTTTTTGATCTTGAAATGGGTTGATCAGTGCAGAGAGTCACCATTGAGATGCTACTTTGGTTGGGATTCACCTGATGCAATTGCAGGCTCATCTTTCTTTAAAGTCTCCAATGTGCCAGAAGTAACAGCCTCCAGTGTCTTATAAAACTCCTCAGGAAGGGGACCAGGACGGTGAAGGGGGATGTGCTTGGGCACTGGAGCATCATTTTCAATAACTTCACACTCGTAATCATCGGGAACACCCCAAGGTTTCCACTCTGTAAAAGAAAAACCATTGATCATGGCTTTAGGTTAAATGGAAATTAAAACTGAAAATACTCTTAAGCACATATAACAACATATCGTAACTTCACCCCAGAAGGGGTTGATTCATAGGTTAAATTTCCCATTCAGAATCTTAAATCGACCTCTTCTCTAAAAGAAATCTGCCTTTGAAGTCTCCCTTAATGGATCATGAAGAAAGACCATTAAGATGTTTTTATGATCAAACATACTTTTGATTTTTATATAATACTCTATGCACAAAATTAGGCTCTTTACCCATTAGGCAGCAGGGGAGGGTTGGGGAAGAGGGTAAGATCAAGCTTAGCATACAAGACACCACTTCAACACAGAATAATGAAAGCAAAGGCGTAAGTAATGAATAATATTCTAATACCATATAAAATGGTAGACCTTTTTAAGCATTCTGATGGACATGAATGCCTATAAAAGAAAAAGTGAAAGAGAAAATAAAATATCAGATATACATAGTACAATAAGTACACAAAATAGGACAAAACTTTCAATAAATCGGTTGTAACATGATGGACATTACGGTTTACAATTCACCATCAGGTCCATAAAATGACAATTCATTTTTTTTTTCTAAATGCTATTTGTTTTGATCAGCATTTCTCAATGGAAGCAGCTAAAAGTTGCTTTAAATCCTGTATTTTATGAAAGAACGAACCACATACAAATTGTCACTTTATTCGATAAAAGATGGAATCTAGATGCATTATAACAAGTTTTATCAACACAGATGATTAGTAAGTAGATATTCTTACTAGATTACGTCAATGTTCCAGAATAGAGTATATTTTCAACAAGCTTCAGTCCTGGGCATGCGGAGAAGGGATGTTAAGTGTCCCACACCGGTTGAGGGAATAGGTTGTCCCACAACAGAGGAGGGGTATTCTTGAAAAATACTCACTTCATGAGCTAAGTAATGTGATGAGTTAGCCCAAGGTTCATTTTCTTAACAGTCTAAAAGAAGATGAATAAAATAATAAAAGAAAGTCACTTATTTGACAGGATGCAAGTAGCTCTATATATTTGAAGCCAAGACGTAAGGACCTCCAATGAAAGATTTTCCCACTAGCTTGCCAAACAAAATCAGCAAATACATAACACAGAAAGTGAAGTTCATATTCCCCACAGGTGATAGACAAATGAACACACAGAAATGAGTACACAACAACAAAGAAGAAGCCTCATAAGCTTATAAGTAAAGTCCAGATATTCGTCCCTTTGATGCAAATTGCTGTATTCATATCAGCAGCAAAGTGGTACTGATCTTGCACAGAGTTGACCAAAACGTACATAGTGCAAATAACAAATTTTTTACCACATAGGTTAACAAATTTTTTTTTGAGAAGTCACTTGGATTAACATGTTTGGACCCCCTAATCGAAGTATAAACAACTTTGATTTGAAACTGATCCTGATGATCAGCCTAGAAGCTTTTTCCTGACTGCCCCATAGACTGACCAACTAAACAAGGACTTCAACAGTTGCAATGGCATAGCCCAATTATATTTTGTTGCAAACTGTTGCGAGGCTATCAAAAATTAGAAACAGTTTTTTTTTTCCGGAAAATATTTTATTATTTTAACATTTTATAAAGCTGAAACCTGAAAGTGAATACTCCCTACGTTCTAGTTTATGTGAACCTATTTCCTTTTTGGTCTGTTCCAAAAAGAATGACCCCTTTCTAAATTTGAAAACAATTTAGCTTAAACTTACAATTCTACTCTTAATGAGAAGCTTTTATAACCACACAAATACTCTGGGCTCTTTTTGACTTGTTTAGAAACACAAATTCCAAAACTCAATATTTTTTCTTCAACTCCGTGCCCAGTCAAACAGGTTCACATAAATTGGAACGGAGGGAGTAATATTTTAAAGATGCTTTTCAGACAATGTTTTTTTGGATCGGTAAAGTAAATAGAGCTTTATACCTTACAATGTCTTTCCAGACAATAAAAATGATATAAGTAGGAGAGAATGGCTACAAAGTAGAAGAATGGAATGGAGTAGAGTGAGTATAGGATGTAGTTTACTTATTTAGAGCAAAGATGCTTAGGCTAATAATTGGGGTGTGGAAAAATATTTGTTCACATTTACTTCTCGAAAACCAATAGAACAAAAAACAAAATATAGGCTAGCACCATGGAGAGAGACCAGTGTAGCTACCCTAGATGATTGAGGCTTCATTAGTTGTAGAGATAATAGGGGCACAGATTTGGATGATTATGATCACATGTAAAATAAATCTCAAAGTTAGCATCATCCAACATAAAATAATGAGGTGCAGCAATTTCAGAAAGATTTATCTATTCTGTAGCAATATGTGTTTCTATGTAATAGATCTATAATCTATCAACCTAAAGAATGAGGGTTCCACCATTTCATACTAGGAGAGGAAGTGGTCAGGCATCTGAGGAATGAAAACATGATAGTTATAAGGTTTCTATGATATTATTCAGATCTATCACACAACCGATACTTAAAACCTTAATGTAAGAAGGAACTTGAGTGTAAATTGCTTGAGCAAACCTGAGAAAATGCAAATTCTGGAAGAAAATTCACTAAGTACGCACTGTTGGGCAAACAAAACTAGTAAAGAACTACTTAAAGACCATGAATATGTGGTGCTAAAAATAACCATATAGAGAAAATAGGAGCTTGAAAGATGCACAATGCATGTTCAAATACTCAGTGGCCCAAAAAGAACTAACTTTTGTATGATAGGATGCAAGACATTTTACCCATCACGTCCTTGGGTGCTTCTAATGCAAATCCTTGAATATCTATCAGCCTGATATCAGGCTTTTGTAGACATTGCTGTGAAATCACACAGGAAGATCTTAATGTAATTCACCTATAAAAAAGATGGCAGAAAAAAGAACAACCAGACATTCTTTCTCTGTTAATCGTCTTATCCTGACATTCATAACCTTCTTAGGCATTCAAGTCTACAAAATGACTTTACGGCATTCCGTGCATAAAATAAATTGCAAGACGAAGCTCATGAATGAGGAGAGAGACCCTTCATATTCCTAAGCGTGATCCTCAGGGAACAAATATAACATAAGTAGGAGAAACAACCCCTCTTCATTTTCCTTCACTACCTCAGACTTAAAGAAAATAAAGTTTCTCCTTAACAGAGTGAATTATAATAAAAGTAGCCATCTTTATAGTCCAACTTCACGAAATCATTCATAATTTTTTGGTGTTCGGTGGTGGAAAGAAAGACCATTTTTTCTTGACAAAGTAAAACTTCTAATCAAGCTAAGCAAAATTTCACCTCCTGTTAGTCCACAACTGGATATGATTTATTCTAGCATAGTTAATTTTAGAGAAAGTTACGCACTTTTTATCCATAATCACTCAACGCCAGTCAAATCCAGGTTGAAACTTATTAGAAATTGGCAGATTACCATAACAGTAGTTTCTTCTCACTATCCTACATTTCTTAATCCCCATAATTATAGTACCAAACAGGTAAATCAAAATATAGATCTATATTTTCATCAACCATTCCGTATTAAAATCAAAGAGAAACATAAAAAATAAAAAGAACAAAAAAACATTCCCCCTGTTTAACAATTGCATAGAAATGAATGCACACACACAAAATACACACACATATATATTAAGTAAAAATGGGAGAAAGAAGTTTGTAATTGTACGGACCGTTCATGTGACCGATGAGCTTAAGCTCATCTTGCGCTTCCTCAATTAACTCTTCAACCTGGCCACAACCAAGCCGCTTCTCGATCACTTCCGAATCTTCTTCCTCCTGGCAGACACTGAGGCGGTGGCGCGTGAAGCTTTCGACGGCTTTCCGGTATCCCTCGTCCTCCGGGACAGCCTTGATCTCTTCTAGGGTTTTCCTGTAAAGATTAATAAGAACTTCCCTCGCATTTGGGACCACATCGAGACCTACGATCCCTGTTGTCTCCTTCACCTTCGCCATCATCATCAACGGCCTCGCTACTCTTCGGAGAAACATCTTCTCTCTCGCTTTCTGACTCGCTCGTCGCTCACTCTTTGACTCGGTTTGCACCCACTGTGAGCTCTGAAAGCTCAACCTTCAGCTGATTGACTGATATTGGGCCTGTTTGGCAATGATGCGAAGTAGCTGGATTGGGCTCACCTTTCGGATAATGATGGGCCTTTGCTCATTCGTTGACGGGAGAAATTCAAAAATAGCCAGATTTACCACTGGTCGTTGAAAAATAGTCAAGTTTCAAAAATCATCGAAATTTAGCCACTTTAAATCTGAGCGAAAACACTGTTCAAAATCCGGAAAAATACGCCCGCAAATTTTACGGGAGTTCCAGCATAAGTANTAGTACTCGAACTTACCGTAATTTACGGAGTCCAAGATACTATAGCTAACTCCCGCAAATTTTACGGGAGTTCAAGCATAATTATGCTGGAACTCCCGCAAATTTTACTGGAGTTCCAGCAAGTATAATTGTCCAGTATAATATACTGGAGTTTGGAGCACTGGTGCTCCAGTCTCCCGCAAATTTTACAGGAGTTAGCAAAGTATACCGGTCCAGGATAATATGCTGGAGTTCGTACACAAATGCACCAGAACTCCCGTATATTATAATGGACCGGTCCCTGTTGCAGAAAAATAGTGGCTATTTTTCATGACTTGATAAACGCTGGCTATTTTTCATTGACCAGTGTGAAAACTGGCTATACCATGATATTTTAACTTCGTTGACGGGCCATGTTTTGAACCGTAAACACAACGTAGAAAAACTACTTTCTCTGCGTGTTTAGTTGTGGGAGAATGACACAGTTATCGCAAAAATAAACTATTTACTTTTGTTTATACATTTGTTTTTCTACCTATCAAACTACTTACATTTTCTACCCATAGTAGTTTTTGTGAGGAATTTTCTCTTTTTCCTCTAATTCTTTTTTATTTTTATGCTTCTTTTCTTTTCTTTTTTTTTTCCTTTTTTTCTCCTTTTCTTTTTTCTCCTTTTTCTTCTTAATTTTTTTTTCTTTTTTCCTTTTCTAATTTCATTTAACTTTTCCTTATATTCTTTTTCTCTTCATAATCTAATTTTATTTACTGTTTTCACTATTCTTTATTATTTTTTTTATACAACAAGAAAAAATAACTGATATAGTAAATATTTGTTCACCTTTTTTGTAATATAACTAGTATAATATACTTTGGTACTTTTTCACTTTTTTTAAATTCAATTATTAAACTGAAATAATATCAGTTGTCACTTGATCTAATTCAGTGAATATCGCACTGACTGTTGCTGAGCACCATAAACTACATAATCAGATTCTAAGAATCAACACATGATTGTCCTGCAATGATGCAAACCTTGGTCTCATTTCCTACAAATATCAGTACACACTCTACCATTAGCAGTAACACAACCAGTTATGCAGCAAGAAAACATAATCTACAGCAACCAAATCTCCATATACTAGTTAGAATAGAAATGATAATTAAATATTGGAAAATGCAATAAAAGTATAAGTAACAAAAAATACTTCTAGTACCATATGATACCAATATGGTATACATGTATACCAACATGGTATAAATGTATACCAACAGAGTATATGATTGCTCTAGAATATTGCTACAACTATCTGCGACTATACTACTGCACCAGAACATTAAAGGATGCAATAAAAGTATGAGAAAATATATATGCTCGCATCGCAAGCTAAATATTCGCAAAGCAACTTGCTCATTTCGTATACTAACATGGTATATAGTTGTATGGGGTCGTTCCAACAATTGCCTATAACTATAAAAACTATTACATAATACACATACTCTATATCTATTGGCACAAAAAAATTCTAGCACTACAAATCATGTTCATATAAATAATATCAGAATAGTAATCTATCACGACCCCGGTTCGCCCTCAGTGAACCATCGTGACGACACCTAGTCCCTACGACTAAGTGAGCCTAATAATGCGGAAAATAAACCAATTTGCGGAAGAAAAACAGATAAAACCGAAATAGTGAATAAAACAGTGTTTAATAGTGCCACTCGACATACACAATATCAACTCTCAAACACTAGTACTTTTCCCAAAATCCGGAATCTCATGATCACAAGCCTTTGAATGTCTAATAATATCTAACTCCAGAATATCTAACAAAGAAGGAAAATACAGAAGGGCTAATACTTAAAGGAAGAGTAGAAAGGGACTCTTCGGTCTGCGGACGCGGCAGATATACCTCGGAGTCTCTACAACGCCTCGCCTCGAGCGTAATAAGTCTCAGTCGCAGTACCTGGATCTGCACATGAAAAACATGCGCAGCAAGGGCATGAGTACACCACGACGGTACTCAGTAAGTGCCAAGCCTAACCTCGGTCGGGTAGTGACGAGGAAGGTCAGGGCCCTACTGAGGATAAATAAAATATAAGGTTCGACAGTATAGAACAGAACAGTATAAATAAGTACAACAGTAAAAGTATCACAGGATATAAAGATAACTACAACTGAAACAGAGGCAAAAATAATCACAAGGAACACCACTCTTCACAAGGATAATAATCGGGGATCTCTCAGTATCCCGAGGATCTCTTAGTATCCTCAATATATGCTAGGGATCTCTTGGTATCCTGAGGATCTCTTGGTATCCTCAATATACGTTAGGGATCTCTTGGTATCCCGAGATCTCTTGGTATCCTCAATATATGTGCCAGGGATCTCTCGGTATCCCACACCTCAGCTCAATCATAAATACTTACAGGGGATCTCCCGGGATGCCTTCCCGTAGTCCCAAAGTAAAACACACAACAATAGCAACATGAATACTCAATTAAACTCAACTTCATACCAAAGTAAAACAGATATTTCTAACCTAACATGCTTCACGTAACACAAATAAGGCAATTAAAGCAAATAGAGCAATTTAGTCAATTAGACATGCTTCTCCAGGCTAATAGTAGGCTTAAATTTCCAAGTAGTGTAAGCAAGAAAAGAAAAACACAATTAATGCTATTTTAATAAAAACCGGATTTTCAAAAATTAGCACAAGTACGCACTTGTCACCTCACGTACAGGGCATTTCAATTATCACAATACCAATCCTAAGGGGAATGTCCCCCCCCACAAGGTTAGACAAGCCACTTACCTCGAACCGACTCAATAATCAACCCGAGACCACGTTCTTGCCACGAGTACTCAACTCCAAATGGCCCAAATCTATTCAATTCAATTGCATAATGTAAATAACATTTCAAGTAACTGATTCTACAAAGAAATTCTAAGCTAATACGCAAAATTAGCTAAAATGACCAAAACGCCCCTCGGGCCCACATCTCGGAATCGAGTTAAATTTATATTTCCAGAAACCTCACGCTCTCACGAGTTCAGTAATACCAAAAGTACCAAAATCGAACCTCAAATGGTCCCTCAAATTATCACTCAAAGGTCCCTAATTAACCGAGCCTTAACCCTCAATTTGCCACTGATTTTCCTTAAATTTTCATGCTTAGGATGATAAAAATCACTATAATGACGAGTTTAGGTTCCAAGAATCTTACCTCCTCGAAGCTCTCTTGAATCCCCTCTCAAAAATCTCCCCAAAAGCTCACTTCTCGGATGAAAATGGTGAAAGAATAGCTCAAATTTGCGAAGGCAACTATTTATGTGTTCTGTCCAGCAATCCCGCATCTGCGGTCCAAAAATCGCATCCATGATACCGTTTCTGCGGTTGGGGAACCGCTTCTGCGGTTCTCACTTAAAACCTCCCCGCCTCACCTGCACCCAGAATCCGCATCTGCGGTCACGCAGGTGCGGTACTTATGCCACTTCTGCGATTCCTGGCCCCTTCCTCATCTGCTGCTTCTGCGGTTGGATTCCGCATCCGCGGGAGTCGCACCTGCGGCCTCTCAACCGTAGATGCGGTTATGACAGCATTTATAGCTTCAGCTGCAACTCCAAACTCCAAATCCTTCCGTCAACCATCCGAAATCATCCTGAGGCCCCCGGCACCTCAACCAAAAGCACAAACAAGTCTAATAACACTGCCCAAACTTGTACCAATCCTTAAAATACCTAAAACAACATCGAAACCTCGAATTAACCATGGGTTCAAGCCTAAGAACTCAAAAATTCTCAAAATACGCTTTCGATCAAAAAGTCTATCAAACCTCGTCCGAATGACCTGAAATTTGGCACACACATCACATTGAACACAACAGAGCTACTCCAACTTCCGGAATTCCATTCCGACCCTCGGATCAAAATCTCACTATCGAACCGAAAACTTCAAAAGTTCAACTTTTGGCATTTCAAGCCTAAATTAGCTACGGACCTCCAAAACTCAATCCGAACACGCTCCTAAGCCCGAAATCACCCAACGGAGCTAACGGAACCATCGGAATCCCATTCCGAGGCCGTCTTCCCACTATTCCGACTATGGTGAAATTTCCAACACTTAAGCTCTCATTTAGGGACTAAGTGTCCCAAAACTCTCCGAAACTCAAAACCGAACATCCCGGCAATTCAAAATAGCAGAAATAAATACGGGGAAAGCAGTTAATAAGGGATCGGGGCATTAATTCTTAAGACAACCGGCCGGGTCGTCACATCCTCCCACACTTAAACATTCATTCGTCCTCGAACAAGCATAGAGACATACCTAAAGTAGTGAAAAGATGAGGGTAACGGCTGCGTATATCCTGCTCGGTCTCCCAGGTTGCCTCCTCGACCGGCTGACCCTGGCACTGAAACTTTACTGATGCAATGTTCTTTGACCTCAGCTTTCAAATCTGCCTGTCCAGTATCGCCACTGGCTCCTCAACATAAGATAGATCCTTGTCCAACTGGACTAAACTGAAATCCAACACGTGTGACGGATCACCGTGATACCTCCGGAGCATCGACACATGAAATACCGGATGAACCCCTGCCAAGCTGGGAGGTAAGGCAAGCTCATAAGCGACCTCCCCAACACGCCGCAATATCTCAAAAGGGCCAATGAACCCCGGACTCAACTTCCCCTTCTTCCCAAATTCATAAAGCTCTTCATAGGCGAAACCCGAAGCAGAACTCGCTCTCCAACCATATAGGAAACATCAC